ACGAGTTGAATCATAGGACGTCCTATTGGTGTCGGAGAGCTGCTTGCTGGTGTGGGAACCCCACACGTACACGCACGCTGCAGAACTGACGGCCAGTCATTAGTCACAAAATAAACCTGGGAAGATATTAATGGAACGGATCACAGATGAAAAATCAAAATTATCTTGACAAGTTGGAATTTGGCCCAAGACAGAGAGGAAGAGGCATGAAGCCCTAGGTAGGGGATGCATGTTTTGCCTGGACCCTGGGAATGTCATATTCTGAGAGTAATTGTGGAGGAGCCCAAGATACCTTGCTCTGACCCCATCCATCATCCAAAACTCTTCTCCAGGAAGTTCCAGTGACTACTTGGTGGTCAAGGATACTTTTGCCTGTCCGCCGTCCCCCTCTTTGCTCCTTCCACGGTGTCTGATGACCCCTGATGCTAACGTTATGCGTCGTTTGGCTTTGTTCCCCGGCTTTTCTGATTTTTCCTCCTTAGCCTCTTACCCTCCCTTTAAAGTTTTCCCTGTCCCTTTATTTTTAAGAGACTGTGTCCCTTAAATTCTGATCTCCGTATGTCTGGTCTCTGTCCTTGATTACGTCTGGCCGCTTGTTCACCATTTGTTTACGGGCCGAGGGCCTCCTGCGTGCCGGGGACCGTTCTAGGAGCTGGTGGTACAGCAGAGAACAAAACACAGCAGTCGCAGTCCGTGAGGCGCTCCTGTTCCAGGGGGAAGAGAAACAGTCTGCGAGGAAATGGCCTGGATGGGTCGGTGCTGGGTCATGAAAATCTAACGCAGCTTAAGGGGACTGGGCACGTCAAGGCTACTATCACAAGAAAGTCAGGAACGGTCCCCAAGAAGGTGGCATTTGAGCAGAGCTGTGGCCTTGTATTCCCAAGGTCCCCCCTTTACACCAGAGACCCCCAGACCGCAGTCTCTGGTCAGCCCTTCTCCTTTGGAGCCACGTTCCCAGACAGCTCCCACGGGGTGTCCCCACACCCCCCAAACCGTGGGTGCTCGTCTCCTGCGCCCAGCGTCTTCCTCCTCCTCTTTGGGTCCCCATTTTGATCCCTCCCACGATCGTCTCTTTGCTCATCCATGCTCCTTGGCATCCTTCTTTTCCATCCCCAGGCGCTAAGTATCCAGTGAGACGTCCTCAGGGTCCTTCCTTCCTCCCCAGGCCATAGTTCGGACCCTCACGATCTCTCGCTTGGACTATTTCAGGAGATTCCTAGTTAGTGTGCCGGCCTCACCCTGCCCCTCTGTCCTTTACATCACCGACCCCATGACCTTTGTAAAGCACGGATGACATCTGTTTTCAGGCCTTCCCTCCTCACCCGCTGCCTCCAGGACTAACCAGGTATTGTGTTCAGCCTCCCTGATCCCCAGCCACCTCGCTTCCTCTCCCTCCCGCCACTCAACCATCCCCAGCACACACGCCCTGTGCTCTGGACCCTCGGTCAGAAAAATCCGCTCCCCGCCACATTGACCATCCCGCTTTCCTTCTTGTGTGCTTTCTAGTTTTTCCTGGGATGCCCTCCCCTCCCTGTTCTACCTTCCCCTTCTCTCCCTTCCCTGCTCTCATCCACCCTGCCCTGCCCTTTCCCATTCTCCTTCCCTTTTCCACCTTTCCCTGCCCTTCCCTACCTGGCAGTCCCCAACCAAAGGGCTCAACTCTGCGAAGCTTTCCCCAAATTCTCTTTCCCGCCTCTCACCTTCCGTGTTGTGATCCTAGGGTGCTTGCAGCCGCTGGGATTGCCCAGTTAGGAAGGCTCTCTGTGGCCCCTTCGTCTGCAGGTTACCTGGGGACCCGCACGGTCTCTCGTTAAGTCTATGCTTTACGTAGAGGCTAGCACGTGGAAGGTTACTCCGTGCGTGTTTACTGAACCGGCCAGAACTCTACACAAGTCTTGGATATATTGAACCACGAGGGGCTACTGTTCTTAGTCCACATTAGCAATTATACATGGTTTGGTCTCACCCATCCATTTCGGGTCAGTGATTGTTATTTTTTATTTTGGCTTTCGGAAGTCTCCTTGCCTCCAGTCAGACCGACTTAACTCATGGCGCTCAAGGAGTTGTTTTCAGTTTTATGAGACATTTCCCAGCCTACTCATTCTACATAATCCAGTTATTGTGGCCAAAAATGGTTGCGTGCCTCAGAAGTGTTATAAATGTATATTCTTCTTTTTTGCTGTTAATATTTTTTTTATCTCGCGTTTTCCGATTCAAATGGTTTTTCACAGACATCAGTGAGATTTTGAGTCTTCGTCTGAAGTTACAAAGGTAACTTGTAGAATTGTCCTACGTTCCCAGCCTAACGAAAAGGAAGCGGTGACATTGTGAATAAGGCAGAAATGGTGAATTTCTCTTTTGCATGTAGTTTTTCAAGGTGAAAGTAGATCGAGGTGTCAGCTGGAGAATTTGTGACTCTTTGGTCCAATGGTTTTGTTTTCTAGGACTATGATACAGAACCAGAGTTGTACTTAAATTTAAAAAGCCTTCCGTATTTGATGTAGAACGTTTTCCGTAATCTGCCTTCCCACTTTAACAACATTTGAGAATAATATTCTTTTTTTTTTTTTTAATGTTTGTTTATGTTTGAGAGAGAGAGCATGCACGAGCAGGGGAGGGCAGAGAGAGAGAGGGAGACACAGAATCTGAAGCAGGCTCCAGGCTCTGAGCTGTCAGCGCAGAGCCCAACACAGGGCTCGAACCCACAAACTGTTGAGGTCATGACCTGAGCCAAAGTCAGACACTCAACTGGCTGAGCCACCCAGGCACCCCAATATTCTTTTTTTTTTTTAAATGTTTTTTTTTTTAATGTTTTATTTATTTCTAGGAGACAGAGAGAGAGACAGCGTGAGCAGCGGAGGGTCAGAGAGAGAGGGAGTGACAGACTGAAACAGGCTCCAGGCTCTGAGCTGGCAGTCAGCACAGAGCCCGACGCGGGGCTCGAACCCACGAACCGCGAGATCATGACCTAAGTGAAAGTCGGACGCTTAACCGACTAAGCCACCCAGGCGCCCCAGGCACCCCAGTATTCTTAAGTAATAGCCTAAAAAGTATTCTATTCTGCCAGTTCTCTAACTGAATGGTTTTGCTACATATTTTTTAAATAAAACCAATAACAGAGCTAATCACGATTGTCCCCTTTGGTGCCGAATTGAATTTTGTTTCGGTTTTCGTTCTCAAACTGCTGCAGGAAAACAGGGCTGTCACAAAGTGACAAGTGCCATCATTGGGTCTGAGTGCCCATAAGTAGTCTCTGCAAAAATACACTAGACCGCCCTGTTCGGACATATCGTCAGGTGTTCCTGTGGAGGCAGTTACATCACAAATGAATCCCTTTTTGAAGGTCTGAAATTGTAGGCTGCCACGCTTCTCAATTCTCTCGCCATGAGACAATAAAATTGTCTGGGGCCGTAATCTAAAGGCCTTGTTGATTGTGGGTGTGGACTTCGAGGAGGATGGTTAACGTGAAAAGTGAGAAGTAAAATTAAAAGAAAATGTTGGAACAGGCTAAACTGGTTTTTCACCGTCTTTTCTGGCTTACTAGGGGCCAAGGATATTGAATGTAGAAGGCTTTGGGGATTATCTAAAACTCAGGCATTGAAAGATCAGGTTGTTGGAGGATTTTGATTCAGGGTCTTACACATTTTTTTCTTAAGTGTTGAGCGACAAAGCGTCAAACCTGGGAAGAGATTTTTTTAGGAGACCCTGGGAAGAGATTTTTTTAGGAGACCGTGGTCTTTAACTTGTTTTTAAGTTGGCTTCTAAGGTGGGTGCTGAACCCAACAAACTGGTAGTAGGCTCTTCTCTGTCAGGGAGCCCGTCACCCCGTGGCTTTCAACATTCATCCCTGTAGTTGACTTGAGTTTCTATAAATATCTTTAATAGAGACGGTGAAGGTAAGTGGGTCAATCAAATGCTTAAATCATGGTATAGAAACCAGTGATACTTGGAAACATACAGCTCCTGAGCATGATAAAGGCTTTCATATGCTTGGATGGGCTGAGATCTGTGGTCCCATAGCATCTGGGTACACGGGAAGGCTTGTGAAACCGGCAGTCGGTCATTATTGGTACAATAATAGCCTTGATGCTGAACACTGAGAATGCTCTTGAAAACACCCTTTTGACATTGAGGGATAGGTTCTAATGAATAACGCTCTATATACAAATAATCATGCCCAGTAAGAAAACCCATTGCATTTCCATTTTCATTCCAGGTGGCCACCACGATGTCAGTTAGATATGCTTGTAGCACGTGAGGCTTTTAAATATGGAGGGAAAGCTTTTTATGAATTGGGCTCGAGCTAAAGTTTCTCTTACTGCCTTGTGTGTGAGTTATAGACAGGGAATGGATTAGATATAGACCGATATAGACAGACAGATACAGACAGGGAATGGGTTAGAATTCTAATGCCAAGTCGCATACAGCTATGGTCAAATCTACGTTTTGGGTTTTCTTCCCTCCTATGTACTTTTCTCTTCTCTTTAATATAGATGCTATAATATATATAATACAGGATTGTATTATATACTACTATTATTATATATATTTAAAATCTAGCAAGCTAGCTAGAGGCTATGTGAAAGACAAATCGTAAAGAAGGCAAATAAAATAGAGACCATGGGCTAGTCCTCTGACTATAGTCTGCCAGGGTCCGGGCAAATGAACTTCACTCAAACTGTGATGCCCCCTAATGGGGTCCAGCCCCCGGGAAGGACTTTGCCGTGGAAGGCGTGCATTCTCCCAAGAGAACACATGTCGGGACCAGCTGAGTCACATGGTGGGAGGGGGCTCACTCTCCCTTCTCCTCCGCATCCCGTCCTCTGATGTCACAAATCTGTTCTTCCCTGGGAGAGCTGATTAGCATTCAGCAGGCGCAGGCGGCCGGAGCCGGCGGCTGGGGGGGCGCGGCTCTCCTCCCCGGCACCCCCCCCCCCCGAGCCGCAGTGGGACGGGGGCGCTGGATGGCCGCGTTATAACTGGGATCCTCGCTGACGTGTGGCCGCCTGCTCCTTGGCAGCTGTCTCTTTGCACCAGTAGGCAGGGGGAAACTGCCGCTGACGAGTCTTTTGCATCTTGCAAGGGACTGTAATCTACTGTAGTGAAGAACAGAACCTCTCAATCACGCGGTGTAAATAAGAGACGGAGGGGAGTCCAAGAGAAAAGGAAGAGGAGGGGAAAAGTGCGTGTCGGGGGAGCGGGGAAAAGCATTTTTGGTGGATGGTATGAAGCCAGCCATGGAAACTGCAGCCGAGGAAAATACTGAACAAAGCCAAGAGAGAAAAGGTACCCAGCGCTCTGACAATAGCCTGTTTCAAGCTTTTCACTGGGGGTGCTTTAAAGGGGGTAGCCCGGTTTTGTGTCTCTTGTAAAATACTACTGAAACAATCCCCGTGGCATGGTCTTGCTTTGGGGTGGGTTTTTTTTTTTTTCTTTTTCCCGCAGGCTGATGTTAAATTAATAGAGCAGCCTTTCCTCAGCCCCTTCGTGTTCCAGATCTTCCTACCCAATGTGGGATTTCCCAAAAGGATGTCCGCAGTTTGTCACCCTGGGTAGCTGGATCGCGGTAGTGCGGGGACGTGAAATGCCTTGTTTGCTGATGCCGAGCAGGAACCGGAGGGGCACACGGACTAAATGTGCTTCGGTTCCGCTGATGCCATAGTGATTTTGGACATTTTCTGATGTTCTTATTGAATATGATTGCTCTTTCCCTGTATCAGGCCCTGACTGTGACACGTAATAACCCCTTAGAGTTGGAGCTTCAGAGAGGAGACGTCAGCTCTGTCGCCCAGTGCTGGTGGAAAGGGGTGCAGGGTGCCCTGCTCTTTATGACTTGGAGATTTGAAGGAGGGAAACTGGTAAAGGTCCTGTCCCTTAAGGGGAATCCTGTCACCATGTTGACCCAGGGAATGGCTTTGCGAGAGAAACCAGAGTTTTGCGGTAAGAAAACGGCAGAAAACAGAAGCTAAAATTAATCTGTCTTCTGCCGGATGAAAACTGGTGTCAAGCGTGACACCCCCGTGGGATCCGCTCTGCCACCGTTAAATTACAATGCGGTGAGGTGCGCTCGCCTGTCCCCCTCAGCCACACGTACAGGCTGTCCTAAAGGATATCCCATTCTCCACCTGCGGTGGCTCGCGTGTCCCAAGCCATCGTGCTCAGGTTATTTTCCCGTGGCCCTGGGGTCTGCACACATTCCCTGAGCAGTAGCGACTTTCCAGGGTGAGAGCGCAACTCTGTCTTACTTACGAATATGTAGGTTGAACGGCCTCAGATTGCTGACCGTCAACCATTTTACGCCTACAAACATGACAATTTCATGCCTAACGGCAGGCTTGGGTACAGGCTGCCTGTTTTTATATGGGATTTCTTCTGTACACGGGACCTGAATAATGTTGTATCCTAAACAGAGCCATTTCTTTTTTTTTTGAATTAAATATCAGTGTATGAGAAAATAGACACACCATGAAATTTGCCCTTGTAACTGTTTTTAAGCATGTCACTCATTAGGTACCTAGCGTTTTGATTTTAAAATTGGTAGTTTAATTCAGTCCCTGCATGAAGCCTGCTTCCCCTCAGCGACAAAACCAAACCAACACCGTACCTTTTCTTGTATATATTTTTAATGTATAGGATGACCAAACAGCAGTCAGAGAAGCTCCTGGGAGTGTTTGTGAAGCTGAGGAACGGAGATAAAAGTAAAGATTCATTTCCGTGATGAGTGGAGATGAAGTTCAGGGGCCATAAATAACGTAATAGCGATGTTGTGAGGAAGCCTCTCAGAGTCTATAGCAACGCTTTCCTAAAATAGACGGCTTCATTTAGTGCACGCTTTTTATTAATACTGTGTTTGCCGTATTAAGAAATCAGAGTAACCGTTGAGAAGCCGTTAATAAAACCATCACGGACTCCGCCAAAACATCCCTTTCTTTTCTCTCTCCAAACGCAAGCGAGGGGCATACGCCCGATCTAAAATCCTCACTGCACGGCTGTGTCTCTCTTCCTCATCTAGTCTTAAGGGACTGCTATTACTTTACATCAATTAAATACTATTTAATACCAAACCTACAGGCTGCACTACATCTTTTGACTGTCTGTTTGGGAAAAGCTGGTAGTTAGCTATGGTTTCAGAGACAAAATTAGAAGCGAAAGAGAATTCCTGGAGGAACTCTAAAAATCGCCAAAATTGACAGACACTGGCTGTTGACATAGTTCACAAATGCCAGGTGAACACGAGGTCTTATCGCACGGATAGTTACGGGCTCGAGTAAGAATACGGGCCAGGGTGTGTGTGTGCCCTGCGCCCGCAAGGGTTGTGATCGCTCTCTGACCCGCCATAAATGCTGATTTGCAGGATGGCTCATCTACTAATCTTCGTTGAGACAAGCAAGTTCATATGCCAGCTGCACCCAAGTCACAACCCACACAAGTTTCACCTTTGTCATTTCCCAGCTTGCTCACCCATTGTCATTCTGAGGGCACACGCGTGCACGCGCGCACACACAGAGACATGAAGTGACAGTCAGAAATGTTTCTGCCGCTTGTCACTCCCGTATTCCTTCAGATTTAATTTGAAATTTATAAGATAAATGTTGACTTCCTGGAAATGTACATTTAAAATCCTGAGATAATTGGAGAATGCGTTATATAATTCTGGAGCTGGCAGATCTGTGTGTGTGTGTGTGTGTGTGTTTCATTTAAGCCTTGCAGCAAGGGATTTAATTTACGAAATTTAATCCTATACATTTGTCACTCCCCACAGAGTCTTTCATGCATGTCTATTTTCCCCTTCTCCATTCCCTCTTTCCTGTTTCTTTTCAGTAGTTAGTGCTAGGGACCATACCTGCCTCTTAACTCGGGGTATTCTTGTCCACTGGCTAGTACCCCGTAGCTTGGGCATTCTAGCCTGGGAGAATTATTTGGATTATTATTAAGACTATAAATTAAACCTAGCTTTGTACATTGACTTCAACTTTTTTAGTTGGCCTCACTTCCTTCGGCAAGACAAAGGGAGCTGTGTCTTGAAATCAGAATGACTGTGTTCCTATTTTAAACAAAAATAATCTAAATCCTTAAGGGGAAAAAAACCCATACGTGTTTTTGAAATCACCTCCTCGCTTTTGCCACAGACCACTGCAGGGAGGTCAAAATTCCCAAGAGGTATTGAGTGATCTCCAGAAATTTTTCAGGAAAGCAAGCTGGTCTTGTCAGATGGACGTAAGAAACGCCAGATTACAAATAACCGTTTTTACGTCGGAAGCATTAAATGAAATCAAAGTTTGAGGATTGAGTAAACCAATTCGTGAAATAGAGTAAGTGGAAGAAATGAGTAAGACAGAGGAACCCGGATCATGGGCCTCCATAATGAAGACCTGGAGGGGCTACATTTCTATTTATTTCTGTGGAGTATTACTTGATAGCAATTCATTTGTGAAGACCAGTGCATCTGGAATTTCTGGGAGCCCTCAGTCAAGGGGTAGGAAAACAATGGAATCCATTGCCGTTTTGTGCGGAAAAAAATCTGTGATGCAAATTGTTTTATTACATGTAGGAAACTGGAGTCCACTGAAACAGTTACAGCCGGACTACTTAAGTGCCGGGAATCACGGCTGAAATAATGAGGAGAGTTCCACGTCTCAGACCACAGAGGAAGAAAAAAAGACAGTGAATCGGAAATGATGCGTAATTAGAAATAAATTCTAGGACGTAAGCAAAGTGAGAAATGAATTTGAGTTGTTGACTCGTTCAGATAATGAACACCTCCATTTAAATTTTTTGATCACATAGTTATAATATCTTACGTGTCTAGGTTTTTTGTTTTAAACGGGTACGCTTCGGGCCCTCTGACCTTTTGTTTAGGAAGAACAGCACTCTTACAGAATATGTGTGAGCTGAAGTCCCCGAGGGACGCATTTAACACGTTATGCTCTTCCTGATGATCTATAAATGATGAGCGTTTGAGATTTTTCTTGACATTTTCTAACTTGAGTATATGACTGTAGTGCAGAGAAAGTTGTAGATGCAGTTTTTCCCCTTTAAGAATCTGCCAAGGAGGACATTTGAAGAGAGGGTGTCTGGGGAATAGGCTGTAGAAAAAGCACGGCCTGCCAGATGGTGCTGGATGTATGTGGTAGGTATGATACAGCTTGCTTTTACTTTATTTATTTTTTTTAGACAGTTTAAGGATGGAAACGATCTCAGTTGAGCCATTTGGTGCATCTCCTACTTTTAGGTTATTGTTTCCATCAGCAGATTTTTTTCAAGACTTGGCCTTGCTATTTCATTAGACAAAGAATTCTGACCCACTTCTGGAAACCCCAGATTTGCCTTCCTTGAAATTGAGTGGAAATCTTGCGTTCAGGTTGTCATGTTACGAATTGCCTTTTCCTGTTACTTGAAACTACAAGTCGATTTAGAGTAAGTAAGCTTATTAACATGACTCGTTAGCCTTGATGTACCTGCGAACGCGGGAAGGAGCCAGCGAGTGTCCCCATGAAGGAAATGCCCCCTCACCGGCACTGGTGATGAGAATGAAGCCTACAGCCCCGTGAGATGGTTGGCCGGGAAGAGCGGTGGCCGTGGCACGGGGGAAGAAGGCGACACACACTGGCTTGTAGGAAAGGGAGGCTCCAGTCTCTGCTTCACAAATGGACCTGGTGGCCCATTCATCTGTTGATTTAGTCACTTAACCATATCCTCCTTTGAAACCTTATTCTTCTTCTGCCTTCCCAGCTCAAGTCATAGGAGTAGAAGGGTGCTAACTCATCTCAGGGACCATCATGTGTCCTAGGGTCTTGGTTTTCACCGTAAATTAGCCGACTGGTGGCAGATTCATTAGCAGACAGCAGTACCAGAGAGGAGAATTTTCATCCTTAGCCAGCCCAGTGATGCTTCTTTTCAAAAAAAAAAAAAAGTAAAAAGAGAAAATAAAGTCATTACGGAGGCTGATCTGATTAATTCCATTAACTTCTTGCTGCATTCAAGCCTCACTGGCTATGTTCCATATCCAGGGTCAGCACCCTTCGTCAATAAAGGGCCAGAGAGTAAATACTTTAGGTGTTTTAGGCCATGCAGTCTCTTTTGTAGCTGCTCAGATCTACCACTGTAGCATGAAACAGTCATGGATAGTGAACCGATAAATGTGGCTGTGTTCCAATAAAACTTTATTTACAAAAACAGGTGGCTATCGTTTGCTGACCTCTGCTATATTTCATAGTGTTGTTGTAGCTTTCCTTGAATATTTTAAATACCTAAAAATGAAGGGTGATAGATACAGCTTTTAAAGACCTTGCCTAGTGACAGTGGTCTTTCTAGGAAGCTCAGTCTTCGTCACTTCGTTGCCTCCAGTGATAGTTTTGTAGGTGCTAAAAAGATACCAGTCTGCAGTTCAGTTATTCAGCCTTGTGGCATAAATCAGTCATGTTATCGAAGTACATGAAAAAAAAAGAAAAGAGCACAAGGTGTTGTTTTGTTTTCCTTTCCTCAAGTCCCCGTTGTTTGGTTCATACCCACCTTTGGGGACAGCCACCCACAGTTGGGACTGTCTCCATCAGCCACAACTGCTCCCTTCAGCCCCAGCTACACATTGTGTCTCCAATGTCAGTCTTTTTCTGTACTTCTTCGACAACCTAGAGTCATCTCCTGCCCATCTCGATCTTCTTCTGTCTAAGGAGAACGCTTGCAGCCTCCACCCCCCACCCCCCACGCTCCCATAGGGCATAAGCTGGGATCTCCCTGGCTGAGTGGCTACATTTTCCCCACTCTTGCCACTTGCCCGACATCGACAGTGAGGTAATAGACCATTCAGGCAGAGGCTTCTCCTTGCAATCCTGTGACCCCCTTCCGAGGCACGGGATGCTGTCCTTTTAAGCAAAAATGCATACCGTGCTCTTTACTAGTTTTATTTATTTATTTATTATTTATTTACTTATTATTGAGCCTTTAAGTTGGGCTCAAACATACAAAGAAGACATGATTTTCTTTTCTTTCATATCTGAAGATTGACTGTTGCAGAAAGGCCTTCCCAGAAGTATTGGAAAAGAACCATCCACTTACTGATCCTGTCTCCACATCTGCTGGAGCGGTAGTATTTTTATGCTGAGTCCAACATGTCTGGCGTGGCCGCCATGTTTTGCTCAGGAAGCGCATCAGCTCTGGGCGTTCCATGGTGTCGTATTGTCCTTGCCCAGCAGCCTGTGCCCGATTGCCTGAAGGTCTAGAGGATGGATGTGTCCTGTGCAGAGATTCAGGGACTCGCATGGCCCGGCTTGGGTGAGGTCAGTGTGGTGGGGGACCTGGAGGTCCATTTCTTGGTCCACAGGGTCCCAAGGTGCTCCCTCGCCTTCAGCCAAATACACACTCCTGTGTGGACACCTCCTGGAGTGTTGGGCGTGAGAGAGAGATTTTTTTAGAGGAAGACGAAACATTTTCAGATCAAAAGTGATCGAACTACTTGGGATCCTCTTGCTTGAGGTCAATGTGAAGGGCTCACAGACACTTAACCTCCTTCTGGTTCTTTCCACTGGGTTTCTTTGCTCTTAGAACGTAGCACAACCCACATCCGAGAGAGAATCTCCTGAGCAGTAAAGCAAAACTCTAAACCCAGGGAAAGGGGAGAGGTAAGTCCTTTTCAGAGCTCTGAAATTACATCAGGAGCTTGAGACCTGAGACAGGTCTTTAGGAGGCCCGAAGCACGGCTCGCCTCCCTGCAGACTTCAGAAAACCCCTTGTTGAGCTCACCAGTACCTTGGCAAGAGTAGAAACTTGTAGCACATGCACGGGCCACAGCAGCAGGATAATCTGGCGGTTTCACAGGTGTGCCCTCTCTAGTCTGATGGCCCAGGTTCATAGCCAGGCTCCTCCGCCCCTGACTGCATGGTCATGGGCATGCAACTTCCCTTCTTCTTGCCCGTGGTTTCTCCACTTGTAAAGATAGAGTAGTCAAGAGTACCGATTTCACAGGATGGCTGTGGCACGTATGAGACCTTGGATTATTGAGGTAGCAGGTGCGGCGTGCGTTGCACGATGGCTGGCGCATCACGAGAACCCGCCCACGTGAATTGCCCTCACTGTTATTGACAACACAGCGGCACAGTTTCATCGTGCAGTTCTGATCTCACCCTAGCACCGCTTTGCCCCTAAAATGTCTTTGAAAAGACAGTTTTGCTTTACCTGGAAGCCACCTGTCTTTAAATTTTTCTTAATGCATGTTTGTTATTGAGGAAGAGAGAGCGTAAGCAGGGGACGGACGGAGAGAGAGGGAGACAGAGGTTCCAAAGTGGTCTCTGCACTGACCATAGAAAGCCCTCTGTGGGGCTCGAACTCCCCAACCGGGAGATCATAATCTGAGCTGCAGTCGGATACTCAACCGACTGAGCCACCCAGGCGCCCCCAAAGAGGCTTTCTTTAAAACACGGCCTAGAAAAGCCTCTACTTCCCAGCCGGAAAGAACCTTGAGAGTTTTCCGAGGTCGTGCCAGGTGCAGCCGGGGTCTTGTCCAGGCTTCGCGAGGTCTCGAGCGCACCCGGTCTGGCATTTGGTTTGCTGCCCCATCACGTGGCGGTCTCCTCCGGCCTCACCCTCAGCGCTCGCAGGTGCCTAATGGAGCATTATAACCTGGTCTTCTGATGGAATCATTGCCCACATCAACATCAGAATCATTTTTTCTCCTTAATGATCTGAGGCACCACACAGGGCGTAGCCCCAGGGGAGGTTTGGTGGGGTGCTCAGCCAGAAACCGGCCCGACTTGACCTTATGCTCTGTTAGGGATTTCAAGATTGTGATTCAACTAAGCGTTACGAGCAGCCTACTCTGTGTCAGGCACATTGGTGGATCCCTCTCTCTCCAGTCCCTTAAGAAGTGGGACACGGAGTCCTGTTACCACATAGGGACCTGAGTCCCTAGGAGGCCACTTGTCACCATGTGCGTGAGTAAATGATGGTTGGAGCCCACGACCAGCAGCCACCTCTGTGTAGAACACGGGGAGGTATTTGGGACAGGGTTTAATCCAGAACATTCTAACTCTGAAGGACGGAGCTTAAGATGAGCTGACAGAATATGGCAGACGTCCATGAGAGGACAGGGGTTTTATCGAAGGTTCAGCAGACCCCAGGGTCTCTGGCAGATTTTCAAGGCTGGAGCTGGACGCCCTAACGGAGGGTGAGCCTGTATTCCCTTCGCCTGGCCAGGTGCGGTGATGGTGCTCTGTTGGCTCAAAAGTGCAGTAAACAGAAAGAACAGCATTCCTGTGAGAAGGCAGATTTTCACCACGAGTAGTAGCTATCCAGCGTGAGCATTCTGAGGGGTGGGGTGGGGAGTGGGGCGGCGATGGCAACAGTAAGGAGGGGAAAGGCAATCTTGCAGATTTTTGTAAACTTCAAGAACGGAGGGGACGCCAGCGTTCTCGATTCATCCTGCCTAGTTGACCAGACAGTACAGAAAGGTGGTGTTTCAGTAGCGTATTGTTTAAACTCCCCGTTTCCTTTAACTCTGTGGTAAAAGAATAAATGCTGATATAGAATCTTTGCCAGAGATAGAGACACTGACTCTTTGCCACCTGAAATTGGCAGTGAGCAGCAGAGCTGGAATGGAAATTGGCAGGTACCACTGGATGTACCCAGGCTCAAAGAACCACCAGTACCATCCCGTGCCAGCCCTGGGGGACAGGGCTAGCCCCTTGAGCAGTCCAGGTAAATACAGCCTCGGGGTGAATTCGAATAGCAAGTCAACTGTTATCTTGAATATTTGTGATGGCTCTTTCGGTGTGGTGATATTTCATGTTTTGTTTGATGCGTTAATTTGTCCACAGGGGCGTGGGTGGAAGTGGCCCTTTAAAATTTTTGTAATCATCTTTTGTTTTTCTCCTCCTCTCCATTCCACCCCATCTTTTGCCTCTTTCTTCTCCCTCCTTCCCCTCTCCTCGCCCTCACCTCCTCTTCTCAAAGGGAGCAGTGTGCAATGACATGAACCTTTGGGTTAACTCCGAAATTTTCCAACGTCTGAGCCAGTAACGGGGGGGAGGGGCGGGGAGGTGTGTGGCACGTTTGGCCTCCATGGCACCAAAGATGGGGTCGGGACTCTCCAGGAGCCATGAGTGTCCCCAAACGGCCTCCAGGCCACAGTGCTTTGCAGCGCTCTGTCGGAACATCAGTCATGGTCTTTGACGAGGAAAAATCCAAGCCCATGACACGAGAATCGGATAACTGTGTGCTCGGTCCCATCAGGTAGGTCTGTTGGGTCTGGTTTCCTGTTGCCTTGCTCTTGAGGAGCACTGGTCCCTCAGAACCGCCAGGTGCTAGGTTGGAGGGACACGTGGGGGTCCAGGGGCAGGGAGAACAGTGAGCGGTGTGAACGCCCACGCTCCGCATTCCCAAAGCCTGCACGTATCTTATTACCCGGCTGGGTCAGCTACAACTCCGGTGACCTCAAGTTACTTAAGCTGTGGATCCAAAGGGAGGGTGGCAGATCATGTAAGCACCACAAAGGCCTCAGGTATCGCTCTGGTTTTTCAGGATCCCGTAGTGGTCCTAGGCCTCCCAAGTACTTGCACTGCATATTTTTTCAGGAACCGGTCAGGAGCAGTGGGGCGGGATCCACAACCAGAGAAAGAGCAACCCTGACCTACAGCGTGAGACACTCACTGGGTCACAGAGTCGTGACACCTGTAATTAATTGAATAAAACTTTTTTTCTTTTAAAACCTAAACTGGGGCTTCAGGTCAATTAACGTGAAATCTGATGTCGGGTTTAGTTCTACGTCTTGAATTATGCATTCCTTCTTTTGACATGTGGCTGTCAGGCATCCGTGCTGTGTACGTGTGTGCATGGGTGTGTGCGGGCACACACGGTGCCAGTTAGGAAGAGTGAGCAAGAAGTGACATCAGACCTTTGTTCTCGTGGATCCTTTTAAGAATGGAGAGGGTTCTGGAATCTTGATTCAAGAATTATTGTTAGATGGTTTGTGAGATCAAGCCCTGCGTCCGGCTCTGCGCTGACAGCGCAGAGCCTGCTTGGGATTCTCTGTCTCCCTCTCTCTCAAAATAAATAAACAAACATTTTTAAAAATTGCTGTTAGACATGATATATCCATAGTGGAATGCTGTTCAGCAATAAAATGGGATGAAATGTTGATAGATAGGACAACATGGATGAGACTCAGAAACACTATGCTAAGAAGCCAGACGTAACTGACCAACTCTTGGTGACTCCATTTATATTAAGTTTCCAGAATTGGCAAATGCAGAGAGACAGAAGGTGGGCTCGTGTTTGCCAGAGGCTGGAGGAGAGGGGGAGTGGGCAACGACTGCTCGTGCCTATAAGGGATCCTTTTTGGAGTCATGGGAGTGTTCTAAAGTTACGCTCTACCGATGGCTACACAGCTCTGTGAACGCGCTCTGAGTCGCTGAATTGTACACTTAAGACAGGCGACTTGTGTAGGTGAATTGTATCTCAAACTCTTGTTAAAAAGCAATACCCCCCCCCACCCACCCCCAGCACCAGGAGACCGCACAGGACGCAGGGATGAGGATATTTGGTACCATGACAGGAAGGCCTCCACGTTATCAGAACCTGCTTGAGAGAGCGTGGGCTGCGATGTAAGGATGCATTGGCATGCAACAGGCCAATTAAATGAAGAAGAAACCTAAGTGTCTTTCCTGGACTGTACAGGAAGGAGTAGACATTGGTATCTTCTCGGGGCGGGGGGAGAGAGGTAGCTTCTGTTAGTGGCTACTTGTCGGGTAGTCGCCTGTCACAGCGTTGGGAGGACACCCCCGTGCTTCTGACCCTACAGCTGGATGCCGGGCTGCGGCCATTCTGAGCAGCACTGAAATATAGGCTTCATTTCCCCCCCAAAACTTTTGGGGCCAAATTTGTTTCAGACTTGAGTTTGGGATTTGGGGAGGGAATGGGGTGCACACCCTGTGTGCTGCACGGTGCCACCAGCCAGGCCTGGGCGCTCCCATGGGTCCGGCACGCTTATCTCCCTGGGGAACCCAAGACCGGCACGTGCTCGCCCGTTCAGGTCAGGTTGTGGCATCAGGTTCAGATCGGAACAGGTTGTGCTGCCGGATGAGCCAGACAAGAGCCCCAAGTCCTTCGCTTTCGGAGTTTGGGGGATTCTGGGACCGTATGACGAGGAATGTCGACCTCTCGATAGCGTCCCATCGCTGGTGACACTTAACAGGTGAGAATTCCGTGAAGAGGCAGGCTGTTGTCTAAACGGGAGGAAACCAAACTCGGTGTATAGAATCACCTTCCCGGATCCTGCGACGCCCTTATACCCGCACGCTGTTGTCCCTTTTTGTGTGTATTGGCTAAAATCATTGGGACAAATCCGCCTTTGCGGCACACACACTGGGGACCCTGTGTGGCCGGAGCCAGCCACACAGAGCTTACGCAGCAAGGTATGAAGAAGGCAGCTAGGGCCCCGGAGCGAGGGCACCGAGCCCAGCCACCTTAGCTCCTTTCCAGTTGCTTGGAGATTTTGTTGGCTCTCAAATCACCCAAGTTGCCATTCTGTACTTAGATCCCAAACCAGATGGTGTGAGGGGAAAAAATAGAGAATTCCATATGGCTCTGGTGGGTTTTTTTTTTTCTCCAGAGTTCTCATTTCTTTCCAGTGGGGGAGGGGGGAGAGGCTTTGAGAGAGGCTGAGCAGATCTTTGCCAAAAGAGGATGCCTCTCCTACCTGTGCAGCTGTTAGAGCAGCGATCCCCTCTGCTCCTAACCCCAACTCACTTATTCCCAATTGGAAAAGTCTAAGTAGCTCCATTTTGCTTTGCAAACCTTGATCTTTTCGTGTTCCTCTTTGGTGTAACTTCCCAGTAGAATTACATTTTGGGGACTTGAATAGTTACCCTCTGCCATCTGGGTTTTTTTGTGTTTGTGTGTGTGTGTGTGTGTGTGTGTGTGTGTGTGTGTGTGTGTGTGTGTTTTGGTTTTGCTACTTTTTCATTTTGTAACTGCTTTGGCCAGATAACATTCACATCTTCTCCAGGCCTATGGGGAACCCAAGGATGTGGCTGCCTGGGGGCCTGGGCTGGCGGCAGTAGAAGGAATATTTAATGCTGTGCCTGCGTTTGATGGAATGTCGTTCTTAACACGTAGGGAATATCCCAGGCTGCTGTTTTTCATGGCGCGATGCAGACTTCAGGGTGTCATCTGAGAGGAGGTACGTCCTCTACTAGAAGTGCGGTCTGTGGCCCAGCAGAAGTGGCGTCACCTGGAAGCTGATGATAGATGCAGCCTCAGGCCCCAGTCCAGACCTGCTGACTCACGATTTCCATTTCAACAAGATTTCCAGATCTAACTTAATATTTTTTTATTGACTTCCCTTTAGGTGTCTGTTTATTTTAAGAGAGAGCGAGCAAGCGGGGCAGGGGCAGAGAGAGGGGGAGAGAAAGTTCCAAGCGGGCCCCACGCCATCAGTGCGGAGGCTGCCGTGGGGCTCGATCCCACGAACCATGGTTTCAGCCGAAACCAGGAGTCAGATAGATGCTCAACTGACAGAGCTGCCCAGGGGCCCCAAGAGAAGCACTAATTTAGAGGAAGGCCCAAGAGTAAGAAGGGAGAACTGGGAAGGAATGGAAGTGATTTTATCCTCATGGGATCTAGAAATCTCTCTCTCTCTCTCTCTCTCTCTGGAAGAGGCTGAGAATTGCTGCAGGGAGTCCTTCTTCTTCCCTGTGTTAACGGAGAGGGTGCACAAGACTTGCTGGTCATTAAGGTCCTGCTTCGTTTGAGGGACAGTGACCTTTGCTCTCTCCTTCCTTAGTTCCAAATCTTGGTGAAGGAGCCGGGGGGGGGGGGGGGGGGGGGGGGGGGGGGGGGGGGGGGGGGGGGGGGGGCAGGGAAAGCCGGAAAGGTTGGTTTCCTCGTGGCACAGAGAGGGCGAGGAGAAAGTGTCCCTCATCATGTTCCTTCATCCCACCCAGTGACTTGCAAGACGCTGTTACGTCACCGGGGCTGTCAGCCCAGGGACCAGGGATGACGCAGCATGCGCTCCTCCACGGGTGGCCCCGCCTTCAGTCTGATAGCTGAGGAGCAGCACAGCTGCCACCGCCCCCCACCCCCACCCTTTGCCAATCACCACTTCCCTCTTTGCCCGTCTCCCGAATCCGAACTGTTCGGATACTTGGTTCAAGATGGCTGTAGATCATTCCAAAAGTCCAGACAGAGAGTGCTCTGTCACCTAGGAACTACTCAGTCGGGAAGGTGTGCGGAGAGCTTGGGTGGATGCGGGTGTTGAGCTGAGAGTTGAGCAGAAGTCCACGTGCCGGGAAGTGCTGTTGGGTTCTTGTTACTCTGTAGGGTCGCTCTTTCCTAACCCGGGGCTGTAAGGCCATTCAATGTGAGGTCCTCAGTGAATACACTCGAACTGTATTTCAAGGGAGGAAAAGATCCTTAATCTTTTTTTTGGCATCGCAGGCTCTGTCTGAAGTTTGGTGTCACCCGTAACACACAATGTGGTTGTGCAGTGTGGACTCCGATGGCCGATTGGCCAGGCCTCCCTGTTTGCGAGAGTTTGGTTAGAGAAGTTTTCTTCCTTTACACGGCCCAGTCTGAGGGTGGCCAGCAACTCCAGGTGTTTCCACTTAGACAAAGGTTAACAGTGGACACAATGTAAGCGTATTACAGCTCAGGTTCCTGCTATAACATTTCTTTCTTTTTTTTTTTTAATTTTTGAGAGA